GTTTCAGAAAAGTCTATGCCTTGTGAAGATCGAATTAAAATAAATCTTTGATCATATTGAAAATCAATTACATTGAAGGGTTAATATGACATCTTGTGTTTTCATTCTTTGAAGAGGCCTATTTCCTAGGCTCCGCTTGAAAGAAAAATGCAGAAGTTTAAATTGGAGAACAAATTCAATACCATTTAATGTGTCCATTAGGGTGAAAAGTTAGAATTCCAGAAAATAGTTGGATAGTTCAATAACCTCAGATTTCTGTAGATAGAAGTCTTGAGAGAAACAGTTTGCCCTGTGAGGGATGAGCAGCCCCAGGACGCTCACAGAACTGCATTTGGGCTGACAAACAGGAGAGTTTGAAGACAGCCCACACATGCCAAATGACAGGAAAACCCTCAAAATGTTCACCAAAGTGAACATGCCTGGTCTGCAAGGCTTACAGCTGAAACAGACAGATGAAGAAACTTGAGGGTTCCGATGCTAGAGCACTTTATGGAGGAAAACTGGAGATAATACACATTATGAACTGAGGTTGGGATTCAGGACCAGTCTTTTCGTGTCTAGCCGTGGAGCCTCAGGGATTTACTAGGAGAGAGGATCAGAGAAAAGCTAATCAGGCAACACAAGGCTGGTGTGAGTTCTTGCATTTATAGGTCTTCGTGGATTTATGTTCGACAACTGACGTTTGCTGAATAATAGTAATACCTGGCATTTGTTGAGGAGTTATTCTATGCCAGAAATTGTGCTAAGTGCTTGGCAAATATTATGTCACTTAATCTACCTCCAAATCTGATCAATAAGTACTAATAATATAGCATATTAAACAACATTCCCTGAACCAAGGAATTTCATTTATTTCCCTAAATTCACACAGCTAATTTGTAGGTACAGTACAATCTGAGTCCATAAATTTAGGAACAATACTGTAAGGCCTCACTAACAACATCAATATGTCCCTGGAAACTTCAACTTTTAAGTGAAAGGAGGTACAGCAAGTCCTCAAATAATGTTTCCTTCAATGTCTCATTTTGTTACAACATTGATGAGAAAAAAATTGATTTTGTTATATGTAATTTCACTTAAAGTCAGTTTCCAAGAACCTATCGATAATGGCAAGTGAGGACTTACTGTACTCTGTTATCGTAGCTAGAACTTGTCTTCAGTTTCACTTGCATAACCCCTACTGGAATTTTGATAATCAATACTTGCATACTTGTATGTACTTTTATGTTGACATATACTGTTTTTCATCGTAAGTCAAAAATCTTACAAAAGATGTAATATGTGTTTTAAAACACTCTTAAAAGGCTGGTCACAGTGGTTCATGCCTGTAATCTCAACACTTTGGGAAGCTAAGTTGGGAGGATCTCTTGAGGCAGAAGTTCGAGACAGCTTGGGCAACATAGTGAGATCCCATGTCTGCAAAAAATTTACAAAAATTAGCCGGATGTGGTGGTGTGTACCTGTAGTCCCAGCTCCCAGGGAGGCTGAGGTGGGAGGATTGCTTGACCTCAGGAGTTTGAGCTTGCAGTGAGCTTTCATGGCTTCATTGCACTCCAACCTGGGCAACAGAGGGAGACCTTGTCTCTAAAAACACAAAAAAGATTAAAAATAAAACACTCTTAAAATATTTGATATTCATGATATTAAAAAACTGTATTTTTTTACTCCTTGAAATTGTATTTTTACTCTACTCTTACAGAATTCTATCATAATGTAACATATTTTTTGCACTTCTATGGTTGTTTACGGCGATGGTTAGTTTTTTGTGTCAACTTGGCTAGGCTATAGTTTTCAGTTGTTCAGTCGACACTGTCTAAGCATTGCTGAGAAGGCATTTTACAGAGGCTGTTAACATCTACAATCAGTTGACTTTAAATAAAGGTTAACATCTACAATCAGTTTACTTTAGTTAAAGGAGACTATCTTTGATAATGTGGGTGTTGAATTAGTTTGTACTTGCACTGCTATAAAGAAATACCTGAGACTAGGCAATTTATAAAGAAAAGAGGATTAATTGGCTTACGGTTCTGCAGGCTGTACAGGAAACATGACTGGGGAGGCTTCAGGAAACTTACAATCATGGTGGAAGGCGAAGGGGAAGCATGTACCTCTTACATGGCTGAGCAAGAGGAAGGTGGGGGAGGTGCCACTCACTTTTAAACAACCAGCTCTCCTGAGCACTCTATCAGGAGAAGAGCACCAAAGGTGGAAATCCATTGCCATGATACAATCACCTCCCATCAAACCCCACCTCCAACATTAGGGATTATTATTTAACATGAGAGTTGGGTGGGGACACAAATCCAAACCATATCGGTGGTGATTCATCTAATTAGGTGAAGGCCCTAAGAGCGAAAATTGAGAAAGATTTTCTGAAGAAGAAAACTCAAGACTGCAACATTAACTCCTACCTGAGTCTCCAGCCTGCCAGCCTACTCTACAGATGTGTTAAAAGATAAACTAAGTCACATTCAAATCTATAGTTTGAGTGGACAATGAATCAGAAGTTGGGCAGCTCCAGACCATAGGCAGTTCAGGGATCCAGAAAAGGAGAATAAGGGGGAGCTTTTATAAGGTGAATGTGGAAGCAAGGCAAAGCAATCATTTCAGTGGAAAGTTCCTAGCTAGAGGTGAGATGGTGGTTTCTGATAGGCCTGAACTTACATCTAGTTGGGTTTCAGTTTGCTTACATAGGAACCCAGGGTGCTGGAGCTGCCTTGGTTTAATGGCCTTCCAAAAATTATTTTAACAGATTTCAGGATTCCAAGACTCCACAATCAAATGAGTCAATTACAAAAAATAAATCTCTCTCTCTCCCTCTTTCTGTCTCTCCATTATCTTCTGTTTCTCTTGAGTCCCTGGATACATTCACCCTAGTAAACTGAAACGCAAAACAACAACAAATATGTAAAATTGAAGTTAAAAACTACCTATAATTTTTTGTGACAGTAAGGTTATTAGTGTTAAAATATTTCTTTGGCATCAAATTATCACTGTAATTATTAATAGTCTGCAGCTACTCAAAATGGTATAAATGTATTAAAACATTTGGTAATTATTTTTAAAAGGAGAAATATATAGAAAATACATCTCAATTAGATTCACTGAGGGGTATGTTTGTGAAACTATTTATGGGGGCTTGATTAAAAGAATTAACTTAAAATTGTATCTTTGGTTCTAGAACCGGCTTCAGATGGGTGAGAGGTGGACCTGTTTTTTGTTTTTTTTTTTTGTTTTTGTTTTTGTTTTTTTGTAAATTGGGAGAAAAGTGACCAAGAAATAGGAGAGTGTATTATCAGGTTGTTAAGAGTTATAGGAAGAGTACATGTAAAAGCAGAGGATAGGAAGATGGATTACTTTAAAACCCTCTGGGACCTAGTAACTATTCTAAAATCTTTTTGCATCTCTAGAGCAAGTGTGCCCTCCTTGGAAGACTGTTGCTTATTTCTCTGGGTTTCAGAGTTACCTTGTTTCTCTCAAATAGCCTAGTCGTGGACCTGGTTTTAATTTAGCAATTTTGGCAAATATCTGGTTTTTGACTGTTTTCTGACTTTGTAAATTTGGGTGCATTGTCATCCTTTGGGTTTCATGTCCATGCTGGGTCTGGACCATCTCCCTTATTTGTTCTCAAGGCTCCTGTTCAGGGAGTTTCCTTGGTTTCCCAGCTTTTTCCCTTCACAGCTTGATGTTCTGTTATTCACATCCCTGAATGGTGCGATTGCATCTGATCACCTCAGCAGGGCTGGACAGCTGCTGGAGGCTGTGCCTGGATCTGTCTGTCAGCCATCTTGCTTCTATTGATTAGTTAATGAAGGACCAATTACATTAAAAAACATCACATTGTTCTTCTTGGAAATCTGGCCCCTTTGTCTGCTTCAACCTGTTTCCATTTTTCCTGCTTTATTTTTATATACCTTTTGGTCTTCTGTCCCTTTTAAACTTAATTGCTTTTGTACTTCCTTCCTTGGCTTTAGATTGCTTTGTTTTATGATTCTCTTGATAAAAAAAAAAAAAAAAAAAAAAAAAAAGTTAAGCCAAATTAAATTTAAAGGAGTTTAATTGAGCAATGAACGATTCGTGAATCAGGCAGCCTTCTGAGCGGTAGTAGGCTCAGAGACTCCAGCGTAGCCATGTGGTGGAAGATTTATGGGCAGAAAAAGGAAAGTGACATACAGAAAGCAGAAGTGAGGTACAGAAACAACTGGATTGGTTACAGCTCAGTGTTTGCCTTATTTGAACACGGTTCAAACAATTGGCTACATTAATTGGCCAAAACTCAGTGTAGGCTAAGGTCTGATTATACCTCCACTTGTTATAGTTCACAAAGTGCAGGAAAACCTTTAGGGGAAACTTAAAATATGGAAGGAGGCAGCTTTAGGCTAAACTTGATTTAACCTCTAAATGCCAGTATGATCAAACTATAAAAAATAATATTAAAATTTACTAAAATTTTGAGATTGAAGAAACACCATAAATCATAACTCCTGCATGTGTGTGAACTATATTTTGGGACTGTGCAGAAGTTATTTAAGCCTGGGGGTTCTAAGGGTATGAGAGAAGCATTTGAGAACCAACATTCCTCTGGGACTTTCCAACCTAGATGTGATGTGGCACATTACACATGTGCTTCTGTCATGCCTTCCATCTTGTCAACCATGCTACTGACCCCAGTGGTTGAAACAGGATGGAGGAAGAAAGGGTGGTGGTTTGCTAATATTTAACCTGAACCCTTTCTCTCCTGGGATGCTTTTTTTTTTTAATTTTTAACTTTTTTCTTTTTTTTTTTTCCCAAGACAGAGTCTTACTCTGTCACCAAGGCTGGAGTGCAGAGGCGCGATCTTGGTTCACTGCAACCTATGCCTCCCGGGTTCAAGCAATTCTCCTGCCTCAGCCTCCTGAGTAGCTGGGATTATGGGTGCGCACCACTACGCCTGGTTAGTTTTTGTAGTTTTAGTAGAGATGGGGTTACACCATGTTGGCCAGGCTGGTCTCAAGCTCTTGACCTTGTGATCCGCCCACCTCAGCCTCCCAAAGTGGTGGGATTATAGGGGTGAGCCATGGCGCCTGGCCTGGGATGCTTTCTTTTGTCCTGTAGGCAGCAACTTCTCCTGATGGTGGATTTCTAGTCTGTAGTTCTCTTGTTCCAACAGAATGCTCTTGCTTATTTCATTTTTAGATCCTTAAAATCAGGGGGTCTACCTCTGGCTTCTGTTTGCTGAGGTTTCATTAGCTTCTCTAGGTAGCTCTATTGAATGGGATGAAAAACAACCTCTCTGCTGGCTCTTTCTCTCACACACGAAACTCACATAGTGCCCATGCTTGTCCGTGTGGTTCTTTGTGTTTATTACAAAGAGGTGCCCGTTTCTCAAGATACTTTATTTCTGCCTATGGGGAAATTGTTGTAATACACACCGGTTTTGTTAGAACAAGAACCTCTATTGCCATCTACCAGAAAGTAAACATAGAAACTTATGATGACTACCATGTGATTAAATGTTGACATTAGATGTTGTACCCTTGACAGCATACAACTTGCACACCATGCCTGGTGACCCTAGGCTCACACATCGTATACAAGAAACACATGATTTGCCTAGATGAACTTTGGAAATGAAAGCTGATTCCAACACAGAAGCAAACTCTTCTTTATCCAGCTTTCATCAGTTAGGAGGATTGCCTTACTCTCAGAGTAGTCTTCTTGAAGCTCTCTCTTGCCCTCATGAGGTAAGGGTCAGGTTTTCCCTAAACTCCTTTACGATGTTGCAGCACTGGGATTCAGAGAGGGGCAACAGCTGTTCTCAAATTATTTTCACAAATTCTCACCAATATTTAACAATATGCCCTTTTATAACCTTGATGTACACGAAGGATTTTAAGAGCTATTGTTAAGGACTTTTGGGCTAATTCCTTTGCAACTTCTGCATATGATCTCATACTTTATCATCTATTTTTTTCCTTGGTGTTTCAGTTGTAACTTCTGTTTTCACTTCTTATCACAAACAAAATAGAAAATGGAAATATTTCTCCAAAGATGTTAAACATCTTTCCACTTACTCCAATGAGAATAATTTAATACGGATAGAATTAATCTTCACTAGAAAACTAAAATTTACCAAAGCATATCTTTTATGGGTTTGGTATAAGAGCAGCAGGGAAAATTTCTTTCAGAACAATTTATGATGGAGAGTATCATGAGAGTCTTATCTTTGTCCTTTCTAGAAGACACTAAGGATCATGTGAAAGAGCTCCCTGAGGACAGATTAAGAAGAGATGAGTTAAAGCTGCAAATACCAAGATTTAAGGTTAAGTATGAAGAATTTCCTGATACAGAAAATTCTTTAGCCTTGGAATTGAATATCAAAAGACTCTTTCCCCAACGTTGACCTCCAAACAAACTTTGCTGGGTTGTTCAAACCGCTTTGTTTCCTGTAAGTGTTCATTGATCTCTGTGAGTGGATGATGGTTGATTACACACTTCGTCCATGATTAAACTAGGAAACTTCTGTTCAAAAGATTCAGTATAATTTCTCTTTCCATGAATATATGGAATTATATAGTGATTTTAACCTATATAGACCAAGATAACTTTGTGATCCAAATGGTCAGGTGTCATATTTAAAAAATATATGCATATAGTTTAAAGCAATTAAATATCCTTACTCAGTTTCTTATGCGGATATGTAAGAGTAGCAACTGGTCATGAGGGTCCATCTTCTATGGCTCTTTCACGTGTCTGTGTGTTTTGTGAAGCAAAGCATCGACTTCCCCTTGTTCTAAACTATCTTTTGAAGGATGCTTGTATAGTATAATTAACGGCTTTGGACAATAGAGATTGTATCTCCCTCTGGAACAGGGGTGTCTGATCTTTTGGCTTCCCTGGGCCACATTGGAAGAAGAATTGTCTTGTGCCACATATAAAAAACATACTCACTATAGCTGATGAGCTAAAAAAAAAATCGCAAAAAACCCTCATAATGTTTTAAGAAAGTTTACCAATTTGTGTTGGGTTGCATTCAAAGCCATTCTAGTCCACGTGTGGCCCGTGGGCTGCAGGTTGGACAAGCTTGCTCTAAAACAAAGGGCAGATTTTCTTATTGTTTTGTGTGGTAGGCAGTATAATGGCTCCCCCAAGATGTCCAGAGCTTAATCCCAGGAACCTGTGAATATGTTACCTTGCATAACAAATGAAAATTTATGTTACAGATGAAATTAAGAATGCTGATCAACTAAAGGACCTTCACATACAAAGGTTATCCTGGATTATTCAGGTGGGCTCAGTGTAATCACAGGCATCCTTTAAAGTGGAAGAGTGAGTTCAGAGTGATGTGATGTGAAAAGGACTCAATTTGCCTTTGTTAGTTTTGAAGATGGAAGAATGGGGCTATGGTCCAAGGCATGCTGGTGACCTCTAGAAGCTAAAACGTTAACAAAATGGAAAAGAAATTTTAGTGCAGTGAGGCCCAATTTGGACTTCTGACTCCAGAACTGCAAGATAATACATTTGTATCCATTAAGCCACTAAATTTGTGCTAATTTGTTATGGCAGCAATAGGAGACTAATTCACCTTGGCAGGTAAAGGTAGTATCCTCCACTGGGGCAAACATATAAGCATGCTTACTGCACAATATAATAAGGATGACATCTCTTTCCAGGGCATAAGCAGGCATGCTTATTTCCTGTTATAAAATATTCAGGTTTTCTAAGTTCAGGTTTGTTTTTTTTTTTTTGCCTTATTTGCATTACCTTGTGGGTACTGGGGTTTGGAAGAATTGGCTCAGATGCTGATACTCTGGCTACTACTATCGTGGTGAGTAATAACCTCTCATTTGTCTATAATCCAGGAGTCTCATATCTTCTGCCAGCATCCATAAACTCTAGCAGGCCAACTTGTTAGTTTGCAAGTAGGCCCTTCATGGTGTGCTTGTTTTGACGCACTTCTGCAAAATTTATTTAACAATTTGCTAGACCGGGGCTAAGCAACTCTGTAATTATTACCTTCAAGATAGTGTTTGCTCTCTTTCCAAACTTTAGAGAGGAAGTGTTATGATGTCTCTCTCTACCTTTACAAAGATCAGAGATCAGCTTATAACAAGATTAGAAATAAAAAACAAAACAGGTTGTTTACCATAGTTTGAAAAGCATCTCTCTATTGACAATTTACGACTAGGGCAGGTGCTAAGAAGTTCCCTGTCTTTTTTCTCATCTATGGAATTTTCTTACTGCCATGTTTCTCCATTTATCTTTCTTTCTCCACGACGTGCTGTTTGAAGAGAAAATCCTTGGGAATTAGTCTCTCATTCTTTTCTCATGAGAAGCACTCCCCTCTCTGAATTTTTGGTGAGTTAGATTTCTCTCTTGGCTATACCATAAAGGGTCCTGGCTTTTATAGCTACTTTCTTGTTTCTAGCTTGAACTCTGTGGCAAAAGTTAAGTCAGAGTGTCAGAAGTCATTTAGACCAAGGATTTTGTTTTACAGGTGTGAAAACCAAGGCCTCTGATGACAAGAAGAGCTATTGCTTTGTTTAAGCTTCTCCTGACCTAAATACCTAGTGTTTTGGAAGAAATTGTCTTAGCCACTGTCAGCCCCCATCTTTCTGACACAAGGCCTGGCTCAGTTGCTAGTTTGGCCTAACATGATTGCTTCCCCTCAACTGCTCTAGAAATACAATTGTGAAATTGAAATTACCGTATTTGCAGGCTGATTCTGGCCAGAGAAACTGACCTGTGGACGAGTTGAAAATAAGCTTATAACAATGCTCGTTTTACAGTTAATTAATTTAGGGCACAGGTATGAGAGCCCAACATGTGCCAGGGCCTCTTGGAACAATGCCTGGAGTGAGGCTGGGAGGGAAGCTTCCTAAAAGGTTGAGGACTTTATTTGGGAAGGAACTGAGAGTGGGGCTCGGGGGCCTGGACTGTGTGAGAGTTTGAGGACTCTAAGGAAAGGAGAATATTATGGAGTTCATCTTTGATTTTTGTTTTTTAATCAGTAACTTGTCATTTTTTCCATAGTCAGAAATGTAACTGAAACATTTCTTCCTCTTAACAGGTATAAAGAGAAAAGGATAGATTTTCTTTTTCTCCTGCAATTTTCCTCTTTAAGAAACAGAAAGAACAAAAGATCTTATGTCCATGCTCCTGGAAGTCACCAATAAATAATACGGGCCAGGGCTTTGTCTTTTCAGCAGTGGGCTGATTAAATCCCTATGCTTGTTTTGGGTTGTGTGTCTGAAATTTGTGTTCCTTTTGTTCTGAGGAGTACAAAATAATCAATTCCTCTAATGGAGATTACCAGCTTAATAGATAATCCTAACGTATTCTTTGTAAAATACATTGTATATGATATTTAAAGTTGAAGGAAAGAAGATTGGGCCATGTAGAAATTTGGTTCTTAATAGAACCTCTTCTTGATTGAAGAAATGTAAGCAAAGAGTTTTATATATTCTGGTAAGGGTATGTAGTCTTTGCATTTTCTGTTCTAAGTATTACAAAAGGAAAAAGGAAAAAATGCTTCTACATATAGCAGAGAGATATGCTCCAAAAGCAGGAGACTAGTGAAGCCCTGGACCCCTGCTCCCTTCCAGCCTTCAAGGAAAAAGAGAGTCCACATAACAACAGAAGATGCTTCAGAACAAATTATGAGTCCATAAGAGATAAATTAATGTCTTTATTCATTGCAAAGGAATGGTTATTATTAAAATAAAATCCCTGATGCTGTCTCTCAGACAGAACTTACATATAGGCAGGAGACCATGTGTAATTTATTGACTGATAAAACTGTAGGTAAGAATACATATGGCTTCCATAACTTGTATAAAAAATGAAACTACATTTAAATGTAGGAGCAGTATATTGGTTGCTATTTAACTGGTTGAATAGTTAACATGTAATATTTTAAATAATCTTCTTTTAATAGGCGGTTTAAGTTAATGCTTATGGTCTAAGTTTTACTTGAAGACATTTTGCTATAGCAGAAATATAGTTGTGATTCATATACTTATTCTTGATATTAGCCTGGCCATTCGTCCTGTGATGCTTAAGCTAGTTACCACCATTTATCTGGTAACTGTTTCCAGAACTGAAGGGATGATGCCTGGAAGGAGATAAACTTCAGGAGTTCACCTTTAAGCCAAAAAAGTACCAGCAAAATTCAACGACAGGATAAAAAGTTTGTCATAAGTATTTTCACAAGATGGAAGACAAGAAAGCAAAGAGCAGGATAGAAAGAATGAAGGAATGAATAAAAATAAGTGAAAATGCTGCGTTTTCTCTCATGGGATGGATTTTTCAACAGCTCCTGAACGATGACCTCTCAAGTTCTTTTGCAATTCTGTTCTAAGAAAGTAATTACATACATTTAATATTCCTGTCTTTTCACAACATTAATTCATTCCTACTTTAGCCTTAAGAATTTTAGTAGAATTTATTGTTTATTCGTGTGTATAAATATTGTGGAAAAATATCTTTAGATGAGTTAGTATATATGAGACACTTAGGCCAGGATTTGGCACATCTCTGTACTTCATAAGTGTTTGTTATTGTTATTTTTTAACAAGAGTAAAAAAAGATCTTATGACGCATCTAATATCATTTAAGCTGTTTATGGTTAGTCCTTGGAATGTCTTCTGGTCAGAAGTTTCTACAGCCCGGCATGACATTAATTTGAATGCATTGAGCCGGTTTCCCAGAGGGCTGGATGACATTTTTGACTTTTTAGGATTTTTGAGGCTTTTTCTAATGGCTAAGGTCAAAATCTCTCTTTCCTCATCTCTTGAGTTTTAGAGGGCAACCAGAGATGTTTTGAAGTAAACCAACCATTAGATGTCGCTTTCTTCTCACTGCTTTTGGTTTTAGGAACTATGACCTGGGTTTAAGCCTTTTGATTTTCTTCTTTTTTTGAATGTCTATAAATAGTCTCTATGTCAAAGCTAAACGGGAAATTTAATTTTAGATTAGTAGATAAGAGAGAATACTCAACTCCTTGGAATGATGAAATTTTGGGCTGGTTTTAAATTGGCCTGACTCAATGTCCCTAGTTGACTAAATTTGGAAATGTAGTATTTGTGTTTTTCTCTCTCACTGAAGTTAGCATGGCATTGTTTCTACACCAGACACTTATGCCTGGGTGTATCCATATTCAGGTCAAAGCTAACGAGCTTTTTTTTTTTCTTAGCAATCACTGAACGAAAAACATATTCTTCAGATATCTGTTTGGAATTGCTTTTCCAGAAAACCTTTGTGATCTCCCTCCCCCAACAGAAGAGCTCAGAAACACATAACAGTTTGAAAAAGAGAAAAAATACTGCTGCTATGGTCTGAACATTTATGTCTCCTCCAAAATTCATGTTGAGACTTAATCCCCATGTAGTGGTATTAGGAGGGGTGCCTTTAGCAGGTGGTTAGGTCATGAGGGCTCTGCACTTGTGAATGGATTAGTGTCTTATAAAAGGACTGGAAGGAAGTGGCTCAAGGTCCCCTTACTCCTCCTCCTTCTGCCATGTGAGGATGCCACTGTAAGAACATGCCACCGATGGAGCAGCCCTCACCAGATGCCAAACTTGCCAGCGCCTTGACCTTGGACTTCTCAGCCTCTAGAGCTGAGAGAAATACATTTCCGTTCTTTATCAATTGCCCAGCGTCAGGTACTTTATTATAGCAGCACAAATGGATGAAGGTAACTGCCAATCATGATTTTAGGAAAGAACCTGATTCAAGAATATCATCTTTCCAGTCTTACACCTTTTGCTTCCCCCTCATCATTTCTATCCTGTAGAAGCCTGACACTGAGCAGTGGCCAGAAGGAGGTTTTGAGCTCTTTGAGACTTGTTTCCTTGGTGGCCATAGGCTTTGCTCTGTTGAAGTCCTTTAACTAGTAAAGGTTATTCGTAACTTTGGGTCTGAGAATGTGTCCAAAAATCTATGAAGCACTCATCCTATATGACAGGATTAAAATGCCCAAGGATGTCCAAAACCAAAAAACAAACAAGTAGCTTTTTACATTTTATTTAACTGACATTTCATCTTGCTTTTGCTCCTACTGATATGAAATGAAAACCCCACAACCCTTAAAATGCCGTATTAGTTTGCTATGGCTGCTGTAATGAAATGCTAGGGACTGGATGGCTTAAACAACAGAAATTAATTTTCTTATGGTTTTAGGGGCTGGAAATCCAAGATTCGGGTGTTGGCAGTGCTTGTTTCTCATGAAGCCTCTCTCCTCAGCTTGCAAATGGCTGCCTTCTCTCTGTGTTCTCACCTTGTCTTTCCTCTGTGTGTGGGCATCTGGTGTTTCCTTGTATGTCCAAATTTCCTTTACTTATAGTACTGGTCAGATTGGATTACTGTCCACCCTTAGGGCCTCATTTTAACTTCATCACCTCTTTAAAGGCGCTGTCTCTAAATACAGTTACATCCTGGGGTATTGAGGGTTAGGGCTTCAACACACAAATTTGTGTGTGTGAGGGCACAATTCAGCATATGTCCCTGGTCAATAAAAAGTAACCCAGTTTCTTCTGTTTCAAATCAATCTCTTTCTGCTAAATACTCATTAAAAGTTAAGCTTTTCCTATCTCTCAAGGGGTCTCACCTCATTCCTCCTTCCTAAGATGGTACCTGGGTTCATGGAGAAGCTTAGTATCTTGATGAGAGTGGAAGAGGCCTTTGCCCTCTGGGCTTTTGCTGGGCTCTACCAACTGGACCCTTATCCCACCGTGGTAACCAGGCCTTCGGTGCTGGTGTTCCTCATAGTGGGCTGGTTGGATCCTATTTTTGGTCATTCTCTTGACTGTCACCACTAGTGGCTGTGAGATACGCCATTGCCTCAGGAGGCAAGGTCTCTGTAGACTCTCATTTTTTTCTCCAGATCACAGGCATCTTCCAATCATTGCAAAAGACTGTAAAATGAATGAAAAGATTATTGCGAGTCTTTAATGGAAAATAAAGCATAGTCTAGTGTATCCTTCTAGTTATCTGGTTCCTTTCATTGTGTTTGGGCTATTTTACAATTCTGTAAGTTGTAGAAAACTAAAAATGATATATACGATTCTTGTCCAATTCAAATTAATTGTATCTAGTGGAATGCAGTAATTTATTGCCCTGCAGACAGCTCCATTTTACATCTATTTGTAAATTTGTTGCAGCATTTATGTATATATTCTTTGAATTCTTTTTAGAGCCAGATGTAATATCTTACCAGTCTCTTCATTAATTAATGAGTTAAAAACAATCTTTAAATTGTGTTCAGTTTGTATTTGTATGGGAGTCGTTATTATACTTCCCTTAAAAAATGAAATTATCCTTTAAAAAGTCTATTGTTCTCAGAATTTCCATGTTACCCATGTGAGCATATGGAAATTTCAGGATCTACTGCATGCTGTTCTCAAGTAATGGACTACTAGAAATGCTAGCTCCAGCTCATCTAGCTAGCCAGGCATGGAGATTTGGGAAATTTTTTTTTTGGCAGGAGTGTGGTAGTGGTGGTGGTGGTGTTTCTCTCAGGTTGTAGCCCAGGAAGGTGGTATGTAGGCCCTGATTTCTTTCTTGGAGTCCCAGGCATTATATTACTCTAGCTTTACCTTTTCAATTTTTAATATTTAATATTTTTTGAGAGGTTTCTTTCTCTGTCACCCAGGCTGGAGTGCAGTGGCATGATCTTGGCTCACTGCAACCTCTGTCTCTTGGATTCAAGCGATTCTCCTGTCTCAGCCTCCCAAGTAGCTTGGATTACAGGTGTGCTTCACCATGCCCGGCTAATTTTTGTATTTTTAGTAGAGACAGGGTTTCACCATACTGGCCAGGCTGGTCTCGAACTCCCGATCTCAAGTGATCCTCCGGCTGTGGCCTCCCAAAGTGCTGGGATTATAGGCATGAGCCACTGTGCCCGGCCTAGCTTTAACTTTTCAGTTCTTTCTACTTCTTGCCTTGCTACTTGAGCTTTTACATCCTTTTCTATGTATAGGAAGCCACTTTGATGTCATAATCTGCATTCTTTCTATCTTGTCTCATAAATTCTACCTTCTGAACTTAATAAAAGATTTTAGGATTAAAACAATTCATTTCTCTGAAAGTAAAACTTGTTGATTCTATTGTGTTCAAATATAACCTAAAACTTAAAATTGACTTCTTTTTTTTTTTTTAGAGACAGAGTCTTGCTCTGTTGCCCAGGCTGGAGTGCAGTGGCGCAATCTTGACTCACTGCAACCTCTGCCTCCTAGGTTCAAGCAATCCTCCTGCCTCAGCCTCCTGAGTAGCTGGGACTACAGGCACACGCTGCCACACCTGGCTAATTTCTTTTGTATTTTATTAGAGATGGGGTTTCACCGTGTTGCCCAGCCTGAGCTCAGGCAATCCACCCACCTCGGCCTCCCAAAGTGCTAGGATTATAGATTGTGCAGTGGCGCAATCTTGACTCACTGCAACCTCTGCCTCCTAGGTTCAAGCAATCCTCCTGCCTCAGCCTCCTGAGTAGCTGGGACTACAGGCACACGCTGCCACACCTGGCTAATTTCTTTTGTATTTTATTAGAGATGGGGTTTCACCGTGTTGCCCAGCCTGAGCTCAGGCAATCCACCCACCTCGGCCTCCCAAAGTGCTAGGATTATAGGTGTGAGCCACTGTGCCCAGGCAAAATTGATTTCTTTTAAGTAATTAATACCTTTGATTCAACGTGAAGGAGACCCCTGGGAAAACTGGGAACTAGAAATTCGTGTAAGAAAATATATTGCCTTTATATTTAAAAATATTATTTATTTTCTATGATTGTGATTTTTCGTCTGCGTTGAGTATTTGTTCATATATAATGCAGTGTATTCTTTGGTATGAAAGAAAATGCTCCTATAGCAATATGCTAAGTTAATGATATATCTCATGTGCACTTCGTATTTCTGGGAAAAATGCTTTGTTCACGCTTTGAATCTACTTCTATTCACAGCAAAGGTCAGTCCAGTGCCCTCACTCTCTATTGTTTCCCTGCAACTTAAAAAAAAAAAAAAATAGTAAGCTTCTACCTTTTTCCCAAAAAAAAAAAAAAGGTAAGCTTCTAACTTTTCCTCTAATCACGTTTACCCTGAGTCATCTGTTATACATCCCTTTATTTTGTAAGTTGAGCCCTTTTTTGATTTAAAATATGGTTTGATTTCTCATATAGAAGCAAAGTTTGCATTTTGTTGGAACACTCCTTGAAACAGTCTAAAGAATGGCTCTTTCTTGTTTTTATATAGAGCATCTGGTGAACTTTACATCATGCATCCCAGCTTTGGCTGAGTTTAATATTTTGTCCTTTAATTTATCCAAAACTTATATTTTCTGGCTTCCAATCATCCCTTTCTTAAATTTATTTACTTAATATTTTCTTACATCAACAGCCAACTTTTTTAGGGGGAGTGGGTTGCAAGGGTATTTTCCACAGAGAATCAAAGAAAGTTTTATTACTTAATAACCCATTGGTCAGGCTGTTGGAAGCCATGTTGAAACTAGAGTTTGGGCCATTGTCCAGGGCCACTCATACTAAAATCATACTCATATTGTACTCAATTTAATTCCTTCCTTTGCAAAACTAGACATTATTAAGATGGTATGAAACTTTAGTGTTTCTCACATATTGCTGAACCCATGCGTGCTAAATGTATGACTGTAAAAACTAAAAGTAATTGTCTTAGACTGTTTCTGCCACTGCAACAGAACGCCAAAGACTGGGTAATTTATAACAAAGAGAAATTTATTTCTCACAGTTCTGGAGGTTGGGAAGACCAAGAGCATGGTACTGGCATCTGTTGAGGGCCTTCTTGCTGCATCATAACATGGTGCAAGGGCAAGTGATCATGTGCGATGGCAGGACGGAGACAGGAAATTTGGCCAAACTCACTTTTAGGACAAACCCAGTCTCAATAAAACTAATCCACTCCTGTGGTAATGGTATTAATCCATTCATGAGGGCAGAACCCTCATGAACACAGACGGCAGCCATCTGTAGAGCCCTCATGACTTAATCACCTCTTAAGATCTCACCCCTTAATACTGTTACAAAGGCAATGAAATCTCAACATGTGTTTAGGAGGGACATTCAAGCCATAGCAGTAATCCATAGTTTGCAAAGTATACTGGTTTAGAATGCTATATATATATATTTTTTCCTGAGACAGAGTCTCCCTCTGTTGCCCATGCTGGAGTGCAGTGGCATGATCTCGGCTCACTGCAACCTCCACCTCCCAGGCTTAAGCTACTCAGGAGCCACAGCTTCCTGAGTAGCTGGGATTACAGGCATGTGCCACCATGCCTGGCTAATTTTTTTGTATTTTTAGGAGAGATGGGGTTTTGCCATGTTGCCCAGGCTGGTCTTGAACTAATGAGCTCAGGTGATCCACCTGCCTCAACCTTCCAAAGTGCTAGGATTACAGGTGTGAGCCACTGCACCCAGCCTAGAATGCTAATTTTAGAATACATTATTTTATGATTTATTATTAATCCTCGTAAAAATACCGAAGAGCTATTAAATGTGCCCTACATATTGAGTACTGAACTCAATATTTTCTATATATTAATTATTTTCATAACTGTTTGTTTGAGGCAGGTGATATTATTTTCATTGTAAACATGTGGAGACTGAATCACAGGAAGGTTAGGAAACTCCCCCAATATCATAATTTAAAAATGTATCTGGGATTTGTTTTAATCATGTATGGTAAGACATGCAGACATGGAAATGACTGTCATGGAGGAAGACATTTTTACTCACAGTTCCAAAAACACAGGAGGCACAGCATGCCACACAGGGCCATATGAGGGAAGCACCAGGGTCACTCAGGAGGCAGAAGGAACAGGACGAAAGCATGAGCAAGAGCCTTTATTGTGAGTCCACAGGAAGGAACAAGGTACATGGGCCTAGGATTGGCTAGTTTGAATAATTTCAACGGGCTCCAGTGTGTAGGGACTGCCCCCGGTTTTCTGGTACGTGGCTCTGGTATGCTTAGGGCAGAAGAATAATGCCTTCTGGAGTGGAAAAGCCAGAGAGAGGAGGCGGTTTGAAGTAAGGACTCTGGATTAGTTGGGTTGCATATGAAAGGCACACTTGCAGGGGAGGTGGCCCACGCCTGTAGTCCCAGCTTCTCGGGAGGCTGAGGCATGGGAATTGCTTGAATTCGGGAGGTGGAGGTTGCAGTGAGCTGAGATCACACCACTGCATTCCAATGTGGGCAACAGAGTGAGACTCTGTCTCAAAAAAAAAAAAAAAAAAAAAAAAAAGGGACAGATGGATTAAAATCCCTTCCAGTGTTATTACTGTGTTCCTGTATGACTGAACGGAGAGTTCAAAAAGCTTTCTAATGCTGCTCTAAAGCATTATTTGCTATTTGTTGGGTCCCAGCAGTGTTCTTGGTGTGTCTTCACATACTGAGGTAGGGGCAGGGGCTGGTCTGCCCCCTTTGCAGTCAACTTTGCAGACTTTGGTTGACCTGCGTTGTGATCATCCTCAGCCTGGCCATAATGGACAAAAAGCTAATAGAATCAATGATCCTTTCAGTTATGAAAACCACTATAAAAATAATAGTCTTGACTTGCATTTCAATGCAAAGCTTTAATAGATCAGTTGTAAAAGAGCCTTATATGGATTTATTTAAGTGACTTTTATGCTAGAATGTTTACATATTTATGCTTTTCCCAGCTCTTTGCAAGATGCTGTAGAAAAAAATTAAAGAAAATATTGCTTTATTTTGTTCCCCAATTTGGGAGATATGGTGATCAGAAGGACAATAAATGAATGTCAAGCTTTGGATAATACAGACTAAAAGTGCAATGTGAATTTAGATAAAGGAATTTAGATTGCTTTGAAATGAGCTACTTAATATCTTTGGGCCTTAGTTGCCTTATTTGTGAAATCAGAATAATTAATTTCCAGTAC